CGGTCGAAGATTTACTGCAAAATTTTAAAATTAAAACATAAAAACAAGTCCATAAAGATATCTACATAAAATAATAAATACACAAAGTTTCAAGAATGTTCACTGACACTTTTCGCAGAATTTTTTACAATACTGAAGTAGTCAATATATGGAACTGTTAGAAGGGGAAATTTTCCCCTTTCATCCTCTTGGATTCGGCAATAATAATCCACAAATTCTGTATTTTGAGCAGTTGGACTAACACTGATTAGAACAAGACTTTTTAATACAAAAAGGATAAGGATTATAGAAAACGAAAGATAATTAAGAAACTGTTTATTTTCTAAGAGGATTTTGTGACATGATTTGTTCTTCGAATGGTTCGTTTATCGATTTCTTTTCCCTTTATTCTTTGATTCTTGCTCAACAATTTAGTTCAAGGATTAAACATTAAGCGTTTTTCTAAGTGTGAACTAAAACTAAACGTGCGGTGAGATAAATCACTGTAGAAGAGTATTATAAACCGACTCTTAATACCTGAAGTGAATTACGGTTTAAACATCTGATTGGATAATTAACTTGATCTATTCAGTCCACAAATCCGTTTGCTATAAAAGTCGCAGTAAAAATCTACCGTTCGCATATCGTATGTGTGTGTGTGTGTATATCCGAAACGAAAGAATTTTATATCGATGTTATTGGTCATTAAGATTAGGCTTATCTCTAAGATTGTTATAATCCATGAACATTAGAACAGATACCTGGCATAAATCTGCAACTAACCCTCTCCCCAAGGATAAGTATTGACTATGCGTTAATATTTGCAGGTTTTTAGATGATGTACTGTAAAAATTCCGTCTCATCATTAAGATTTCTTATTACTTTAAAATGTCCAGTTTTCCACGCACTATACAGGTATTATAGACAAAATAATACTGCGAATGCCTCATTATGTAGATAAGTGATTAACAAAAATGAAATGAGATTGTACGAAGAAAAGTTTTTGTGTGATATCTTAATCCTCTAGGAACCAGGAACATTATTTTTGGTTGTATATTGTCTTGTTTATTTAAGGAAAATCTCCCCATGCACATATTTCATATTTATCCTCTCAGACACAGCGCATTCGTTTATAAGTATTTGCATAGATAATGTTTTCCATCATATGTATCGGAAGAACAGGAGCAGTAACGCCGGTGTTGCCACAAAATATTTAAAATTAACTTTTCCAGAAAATTGACCACAGAATTTACAAGAATATGACGCAGAATATTTAAAAATAAGAATTATTTTCGACAAAGAAGAAATATGGAACTTTTTAGCAAAAACATGATGTTCTACTTTTCAAAAACTACTCCAATTACTTGAAAATTTCTATGCCTATATTGTACTTCATTTCACAGCAGTAAACTGTTTATTAAAAAATTATCGAATTTCAACAAAAAAAATTCTTCCTGACATACTAACATTAATAGTGCCTCTTCCTGGCTTCAAAATGGATAGTCAGTCCCAATAACATTGATAGTTTGTTATAAACAAGAAAATTATTATAATAGAAGACTAAATGAAACGCTAGGCCTTTGATAAAAAGTGTTTTTTAACTAAAAATAAATTTCAGTGATTAGTACAATAAAATACTTTTTAAATCGAGATCAAAAATATTTGGTAAAACGTGTCAACGTTGAACAGTTAGAGACGGTGCGTCGTCCGGAATAAACGCCCTATAGGGGTAGTTCCGGGGATTAGCGACGCGTGCGCGTTTACTCCGACGCTGCTGCCACAAGGGCACTTACACTTATTGCTTTTATTATTCCAACCATGTACTCCCAATTGAGCAACGCCGATGTTGAAACTGTTAATGCTTTGTTATTTCCTTCTTAGATGACAAAAGGGTCGTGTACGAAAAGAAAATGCACCCCTACTTTCCAGAGGGTATTCTCTACTGAAAAACCTGGCTACACACCAACTATCACATAATCGGTTAGAGATCCTTTGTTTGCTTTACACACGAAAAACAATTCGGCAAAGGGGTAGCTTAATCAAGGTTCTTTTGTTATGCATATATTAAAATATTAAAGCTTTTAAATCGACATTAGTAGTAATTCGGAAGCAGTGTCTGCGTATAGGTCGACCATAAAGTACATATTAAATTAAATATTTCGGAATTCTATACTGTCATTTGTTGCAGTATTAGCATCTAGCAAGGAGGAGTTAGAGATAGCTTTAAATAAAAAGTAGCGAAAGAGCGAATATAAAGATAGGAGACAAAAAATTAGAAGAAGTGACTGATTTTAGGTATCAAGGAAGTCAGATAAATCAGGGCGGAAGGGGTAGTAGGGATATCGCCTTCAATAAAAAGGAGTCATTCTATGTTCGCGAACGGTTAATTTAGAAATTCGAAAAAGATTGTTAAAGGGGTATGTTTGGAACGTGACGCTATAAGGGTGCTAAGCATGGACAGTGTACGTGGTGGAAAAGAAAAGGTTAGAAGCGTTCAAAATGTGGTGTTACAGGCGAATAATAAGGATACCGTGGATAGAGAAGGTTAGAAATGAAGAGGTATTAGAAAGAATAGGAGAAGAGAGGTCTCTATGGAAGTCAATTAAAATAGGTTGGTAGGACACTTTCTCAGGCATGAAGGTCTAGTTAGAGACATATTAGAGGCAGAAATAGGAGTTAGGATGAGTAGAGGTAGACCTAGATTAGATTACTGTTCACAAATAGTTAAAAATGTGGGATGTTCTAGTTTTGGGGAAATGCGAAGACTGGCTCAGGATAGGAAAGAGTGGAGGTGCGTATCCAACCAGTCTTAGGACTGACGATCTCATGTTGATGATAAAGTCATTAAAAAAAGGTGCTATTTACGACTGGAATATACACCTAGCGATATCAAGGCATCAGGAATCTCTACTTTCGTCCGATTTGTGATTTTCCTCCGTTACTAACTTGCAAACTCTCAACTTCGAATTAACGCCGGCCGTGAAAGCCTACACTCAACCATGTATGTCATAAATTTCACACCAGCGTATTTAAAGTAAATTTTTCTATAGCAGACAGTAAATGCGACAATTTGAGATTGTTAGCGTGTTCTTCATCACGATGATGATGTCATTATTTTAAAAAGTCTGTTGAAGTATTACGAACTTTGTATGGAAAATGGATAAGGATCTTTCAGTAAAAGCACGAGTGTAGTTATTTTAGTATTAGCTACTGAAATTAAAATTGTTTGTGTCAGCATTTTTCGAATATGAGTAAGTAAGGTAAAGTGTACGATGATATCAGATTGTCAGCATTTCTCTTTTGTCATCGTATTGATTTATTTCCAGGGAGATAAAATACATATGCCAGTTTACTTAATTTGTCCTACTTCTTTTCAATGAGATAAAATTTGATACAAGCACAATGTACAATGTGCACATCTTTGGAGTTCTAAATTAAAATCGTATCAAAACGATAACCGAGAATATCGCAGTTATTTTTAAAAGGAATAACAACCTGGATATAGGTATATAGTATAAAAAAACTATAAGAGATTCACCCCCAATTACTACAGGTAATTATCAACGCGAGACTCCACAGTCTCCTTTATTATTCTTCTTATACGTTAGACATATGCGGGGCAATTTAGGAAAGCGAATTTCACAATGAATTATGGGACATAAGTTGAATGCACGGCGCATTTAATGATAAGAGAATTTATTGGAAATTTAGGAAAAAGTTTCATTGACGATCTCATGTCGAGTCGACTATTAACGTTCGGATGAATTTAGATTGTTTATTTAAAAAAAAAATCGTAATTTATAGTTTATATTTTACAATAGATGATAGCTCAGGATTTTCTATCCTGAGCTAATCTTCGCATTTCCCCAAAAACTAGAACATCCCACATCCCTGACTATATTTGTGAACAGTAATTTAATCAAGATCTACTCTTTTTAACTCCTATCTAGCCCTTCATGCCTGAGAAGGTGTCCTACCAACCTAATATCTTGTCTATTTCTTATTGTCTTGCAAAAGCGCCCACTGTTCTCCTACTCTTTCTAATACTTCCTCGTTTCCAACCTTCTCTATCCACGGTATCCTCATCATTCGCCTGTAACACCACATTTCGAACACTTCTATCTCTTTATTTGTCGCTCCCACTGTCTACATTTCGCACCCATCCAGACATACGCTTTTAGCAATCTTCTGCGAATCTCTAAATTAACCGTTCGCGAGCATAGAAATGACTTATTGGAACAGAGGGCGTTATAGTCTATTTGACTAATTTTATTTTTAGTGTTCCGTATAGTTCCTAGAATAAAGTTTTTAGGGAACGAAAATTATAAAAAGTTGCCCTGAAAATGGAAAATCAGAGAGAAACTGAAAATATTAAAAGAATCTAACCTGGCTCAAAGTTTATTATATTAAAACTGGAGTAACATGAATGATAAGATAATCCTTTCTAAAAACAGATATATATTAAATTTCAACACCATTATAGGCCTTTTTCCTTCCGTTGTCAATAATAAGGGTTTAACCATTAATTAAGTATACTTTTGATTATTTCGCCCCGCCAATAAAAATTCGGCATTGCATATCATTCATGTTTTTTAATAATTTATTGCTTGTTTCTTATCGATATTTCTGAAAATGGTCACCTTATGTGAGTACAAGTCAAATCATTGCATTTTTTTGACCAGTATATTCAATAATTGACAGTTTGCCTATCTCCCACTCTGGACGATTGACCTAGACTTAACTCAGCCAAACAATTGTACATTTTCCAAGGAAAAACGAAACAAAACATTTATACGTATACACAGGCCTTCTTCGATGGCCACATACAGTCAGCACGTCCAGAGCCGTATCAACATTAAACAATAACACAAAACAAAACATTGCTTTACAAGGTTGTCAATTCCACGAGTCAGCATCTTGTTTCGGAACCACCTAGTGTAATTTCCAGACATGTTCAAAAGGGATCCGATCAGTAGGCGGATTATCTATTATTATTCCTCTTTCCACATTGTTATTAAGTGTCTTCGTATTCTGTTGTTAATTTGATAAATCGGGGGCAATTTTCGTTTTTGAGAATAATTTATACGTAGTTAACTGTGGTGGAAATCTGTGGCTAAACCTAACTAACTGTGTTGTTCAATTTTATTGTTATTCTCATTGGGATTCCTGTTTATTCCCAATTCGATATGATTCTTGCGGTGAAGCCGGAATATCTGGAACAGCCAGGTAATATTTTTTTTCACAATTTTAATTTATTAAAGCATACCCCGGGATTTTTTGTTACTCTACTATTATTGTTCGTGGTTGAATATTAGGGAACAATCGTACAATTTAAATCTTTTGAAATTTTACACATCATACAACAGGGAACCAAGTATTATGTATTTAAAATAGGCAAGTTATACTCTTTTGCAAATCGTCAAAAGGAACTCCTGAACCCGGACATTTTCCAATTACGGTAGGTTATATCATTTGACCTAGGACTTTAGGCTCCATTTCTGACAGTTTCGACTTTTCAACACTAAAATTGTTTTTAATAAAACATAACTTAATCAAATTTTCGGGATTTCTTTAGAATAATTAGCTTTGAGCTTTTTTCTTGAACTTCTATTTGAGAAAATTATCGGAGATATTGCTCAATGTGGACCAAAAAGTTGACCTTCTTATTAATACATGTAAATAAAAAAAAATTAATAAGGGCAAATTATGCACGAATTACTAAAGGAAGCACAAAAATGTGATTTTTCCCAAATTTTTAGTTTTGTTTTCGGGGTGGAGGGTCAATTTTGGTCGATTTTTAAATACACGCCCCTCAATTTAGCTGCACTTTGTGATTTTATTATTTTTCGATGTCAAACTAACATATTAAACCAAAAACATATACATACATACATATAATAAACTATAAATACAGTGTATTTAATTCTTAAAAAAGGCACTATCGAAAAGTTTATGTTCACTGAAGGTAAAATAAAAAAAAAAGACTGTTTCTAGGAATTTACCTGAATTTTATAGGATAACTACTACAGCGAAGATACATAAAGTAATCAAATAATCCATAACTTTCAATTACTAATGGACACTCATGATATAGAAGGGCGCATATGTTATCAGTGAAGTAACAAGGATAATTTTTAAGTTTACTTATCCTACAACTTAAAGTAAGGGGTAAATTCCACGCATGAGAAACTGGTTCGTCTATCTACAAATGATTTGTACACAAACATAGTTGTTTACTTTTTTAACCCAATCTGTATACATTGTTGTTTTCCTTATCTGTTATTAAGTTTTTCACAAATTTCAACTGTAAATAAACTTTGTACGTTAAACAAAGCAGGAATGTAATCGAAGTGGTTAAGATTGTTATTTGTACAGTAACAAAAAGAAGATCAAAATTCTCTTTGTTCAATGCAAAGAAACCGTTTGCATATATGTTTAGGAGCCCTTGCTCTTTTTATTTTACTTCATACATGCGAGCACAGGAGAATTGTAATAGCAAAATCCTTAATAAGACAAAGTAAATATTCAAAACGTGGACAAATGTCGTTAACTCTTGTGCAAATAATAATAATAAAGTACCTAATTTCGCTTTCAGTGTAAGACAGCAGGTGAGAAACAGACAGAGAGAAAAGAGAGAGATGTCGACCATTAGCGTCAGTCAGTTAGTTACTAAAGTTGTTTATTTATGTAAAACGGCGGCAACAATGTACGTACAAGGCGCAATCGTGTTATTAATTGCGATAATTAAGATTAAGCACGGGACGCGTGTTGATATTTAGCGAACATTTACATTGTAACGAGCAATTTATAAATAATGTGTTTAGAGCAAGTACGTACGTGACGCAGAGCACCATTTCGTAGGTGCACGCCGTTGAGATTGCGAGTGCAACAATGTTACAAGCTTAACAACAATCGATCTATTATCACGCACAGCTCGATTAACTGGAAATTATCGCAGAACAAAACGAGCCATGAGTGTATTGATTAGTGACAATTGTGACGGCTGAAATATAAGGCGACTAATAACTATTCCTTAGCCAACACGGTCGACACGCATTCCCTTAATAGCC